GGCTGAACGTCGTCTCCTGCAAGGACGGACGTCAGATGCTCACCATTGCCAAGGTCTCCAGGAAGGATGCAGGGCTGTACGAGTGTGCAGCCGCCAACATCCTGGGCACAGCCATCAGCTCCTGCACGCTGGCTGTGGCACGTAAGGAGGCTGGGGGTCCTCGGGAGACAGGAAGGGCACAAGTCGGGCACATGGCTGGGGATCAGTTGGTGCAGGTCACTTGAGTACTGCTCTCCACATCTGCAAGAGACTGAGGCTTTTGAAAGAGGACAGGCTGGTTTTACATGAGCATTTCCAGCATCACTGAACCCATGTGTTGTTATGCCCTCTCACTGCAGCAGCTCTGCTCTGCCCCTGGCTGGACACCCAGCCCACCGTGTCTGTACCCTTGCAGGGCTCCCTGGGCGACCAGGCACCCCAGAGATCCCCCAGAAGTACAAGAACACGGTGCTGGTGCTGTGGAAACCTGCTGAGAGCAAAGCCCCCTGCACCTACACACTGGAGCGCAGACTGGAAGGTATGTGGTGCTGCCTCCCATCCCCTGGGAGCCACAGCCAGGAATATGGGCTCATGGAGGGGCACCTAGGACAAAAGTGCCCAATATCCTCGCTGTTCCCTGTGGCTTGGCAGAATCAAGGACAGGGGACAGTGGGCTGCCCCTGTCCCTAGTCTGCCCTCGCCTTACCTTACTTCTGCTTTGGCAGGGGAGCACGAGTGGAAGATTGTCAGCACTGGTATCATTGACTGCTACTTCAATGTGACTGAGCTGCCTCCCGGGAGCACTGCCAAGTTTCGTGTGGCCTGTGTCAACAAGGCTGGGCAGGGACCCTACAGCAACCCCTCTGTAAAGGTGCATCTTGAGGCAGCAGGTGAGCAAGCCCTGCCCCATGGGCGTGGGGTGGCCATAGAGGTACCTGTGGCCTCTGGGGTGCTTTGGGGATCCTTGAGTCTCATGGCATCTTCCCCCCAGCTCTTTGGGAAATGAGGTGCCCTTACAGTCTATTCCTAGCTTACGCCCACTTGGCTCACACCTCCCTTTGCTCCCTGCAGATGCCCGAGCTGCCCCAGCCAAGGATGTAGCTGTCCCCATTCCTGAGAAGGTGGCTTCCAGCCGGTCAACCCAGACACCCGAGGAGCACCTGGAGCCAGTGGCTGCAGGGGCCCCTCCCACCACACCGCCACGCAAGCACAAGGGAGTGGTACAGAAGGCAGCTGGAGCAGAACAGGAGGGTGCCCCCACAGGGGTCCTTCCACCTCCTGCACCCCATGAAGAGGGAGTGCCACCAGATCCTGAGCTTCCACCCAACATCACTGTCTATGTGCCTCCTGAGCTGATGTTCACCCCACCTCGGACTGTTGCCTCTCCTCATACAGACACCCCCACTCCAGGCTCCCCTGCACCCCCCACGGACACTTCCCCCCCGCCCCAGGCTCCGTCTCCTTCCAAGTCCCCCACCGTTTCCCCAGTGTCAACCACACCCAGCTCAGCCCCCACACCATCCCCCACCCCCAACACCACACCTTCACGGAAGATGCCTCCCTACATGGTAACCTCCTTCATCTCCATGCCCCCCACATCACCCCCTGCGCTGGAGCCCACCACCACTCCCCCACCCTCCAAGGAGCCCCCAGCTGCTAGTGGGGTCCCAGGGGCAAAAGACAGCACAGCACTGCGGCAGGGTGTGCCCCAGAAGCCATACACCTTTTTGGACGAGAAAGCAAGGTGAGTAGTGGTAGGACAAGATGCTTTGCCAGGGGTGTTCTTGTAGCACCCCACACCAGGGATGCTGAATCCTGCCATATGCTGCAGAGGCCGTTTTGGGGTGATCCGGCTATGCAAGGAAAATGCCACAGGGAAGCACTTCATGGCCAAGATTGTGCCCTACGAGGCGGAGCGGAAGCAGAGCGTGCTGCAGGAGTACGAGATCCTCAAGGCGCTGCACCATGAGCGCATCATGGCCCTGCACGAGGCGTACATCACCCCCCGCTACCTGGTGCTCATCTGTGAGAACTGTGCTGGCAAGGAGATCCTCTACAGCATCGTGGACAGGTACAGGTGGGCACAGGGCCACCGGGGACAGTTGTGGTAAGGGGCTACCTGCTGATGGCACTTGCCCCCAGGTTTCGCTACTCGGAGGATGACGTGGTGAGCTACGTACTGCAGCTCCTGCAGGGCCTTGAGTACCTGCATGGCCGCCGCATTGTGCACCTCGACATCAAGCCAGACAACATCATCGTCTCAGGCACAAATGCCCTCAAGATCATCGATTTTGGCAGTGCCCAGACCTACAACCCACTTGTTCTGCGGCAGCTGGGGCGGCGTGCTGGCACCCTGGAGTACATGTGTGAGTGGGACACCACGGGTGTAGTGGCATGGAGGACAGGGGCAGAACTGTGGCATGCTTATTCCCAAAGGTGTGCATGTATGCCTGTGCTCTAGGGCACTTGGGAATGGGGAGGAACTGTGTCCTTGGGGAAGCTGGGAGGCCTTTGGGGTGCTGGGTCTGTGAATTTCTTTAGCATCGCTGGGGTCAGTGGGAGTGGGGCAGTTGGGGTATCCTTGGAGGCTGGCTGGGTTCTGTCAGGGTACTGCAGTGTCAGGGAGGGGTGTTGAAGGGTGCAGTAGTGGAGTGCTGTGGCTGCCGAGGTTGCTTGGCTGCTATGGGTGTTGGGAATGCTGTCGGTGTTGGGGAGCCTGGGGATCTGGGACTTTTGTAAGTGGTGGGGACACTGTGGATGCTGTGTGTGCTGGGATGCTGGGGCTGGTGTCTCTGTGTATATGACAGACCTACTCCCCTGCCCACAGCACCAGAGGTGGTGAAGGGAGACCCGGTGGGCTCCGCAGCAGATGTCTGGGGTGTTGGCGTCCTCACCTACATCATGTAAGAGAAGGGGCCAGGGGTATGAGAACCGTGAAGTGTAGTCAGCCCTACACAGGGCTCGCTGCCACAGAGGACACCAATGATGGTGGACTGAGGGATGCTGTTAGCCCAGCAGACTCTTTCCAGCTGGACATGGGGAGATGAAGACACTGGGTGGCTGTGGCTTTTCAAACCAGGGATGGGGGGAAGCGGGACAGCAAGTGCCCTCCCACCACTGTCCCCCCAGCCCATCACCCCCTCCACCACCACAGGCTCAGTGGGCGGTCACCATTCTTTGAACTGGACCCCATCGAGACGGAGAACCGCATCCTGGCAGGGCGCTTTGATGCCTTCAAGCTGTACCCCAACGTCTCGCAGACTGCTGCCCTCTTCATCCGCAAGGTCCTCACTGTCCACCCCTGGTGAGTGCCCAGCCCAGCCAGGGAGGACACATGGCACCAGACTGTGCCTGTGCCTGTGCCTGACTGTCACATGGGACCCCTCCAGATACCATCAGTGGGAACCTGGAGTCCATCACTGCTTTTGGAGAGGGCTGGGACCCCCTGGGTCTTGCAGGGCAAGGGTGGTGGCTGGGTTTGGGGGGTGGAGCAGCAGTGGGCTCCCCCGGCAGTCCCTGATGCAGAGCTGGCTCTGCCCCAGGAGCCGCCCCACGGTGAAGGACTGCTTCGCCAATGCCTGGCTCCAGGATGCCTACCTGATGAAGCTGCGCCGCCAGACCCTGACTTTCACCACCAACCGCCTCAAGGAATTCCTGGTGGATCACCAGAGGCGCCGCGGCGAGGCCGTCACAAAGCACAAGGTCTTACTGCGCTCCTACCAGGGCGGCCAGCCACCAGGGCCACAGTAACTGGTGCCTTGGCCACGGCCACGAGGGGCCGGGGAGCCAGAGGAACATTCCATGTGCCGCAGTACGGGGCGGCTGAGGAGGAGCCGGGACGCGCCAGGATGAGTCCATGGACCTCGCGTGCTGCTGTCAGGGATGATGGCGGCCAGCAGCATCATTTTGGTAGTGCCGGTGAAGAGGAGGCACTGCCGCAACCAGACCAGCAGTGGGGTCCGGCAGTGGGAGGGTGGTGGGAAGCCTTGCTGCAAGGAACAGAGAATGTGGCAGAGGGTCGGGGGAAGAATGGGATGCAGACAGAGGGGCAAGGGAAGCCCCGGGTGGGGGGGGAAGAGCTGCCAGTTTGCTAGCCAGCCCTGGCCACATGGGTCCCATCAGCCGTGTGCCTTACAGTGCAGCCTGCAGCTGCCCCTGGCCACGGTGTGGCAGTCCCCGTGCTCCCCCTGGTTTGCACACCAGCACCAGAAGACTGAGGCTGCTCCAGTGGTTCCTGCAGAGAGGGGCTTGCTCACAACCCCCTGCCAGCCAGCACAGCCCCAGCACAGCCCCAGTCCTTACAGCTGGGAGGGGGGGCTGCCAGCCCCCCACCTTCCGCTCCTCCCAGCCCGGGTCCTGGCAAGTGGGTTTGTGTCTCCAGGACCGATGCCGGTGCCTTCCCTGGGGCTGTCAGCTGCACCCCATGCCAGGGTGGGGCACTGGCAGGCACCCCCTCTTAGCAGGGGGCACCCAGGTGCCACGCACACCTCCTGTGTCTGCTCAGGCCCACGCTGCTCGTGCTCTGCCCACCCAGCTCCAGACCTTGCCCTGTACCCCAGTACCAGCCTGCCCCCCTGTCCCAGACCCCTCACACCTCCCACCTGACCCTGAGGTGCCTTGCCCTGCCCTGTGCCCCCTCCTCAGCCCTCCCCGGCTGGTGGCACAATGCGGGGTGCCCTGAGCAGGGGGACAGGAACAGTGGCTGGGCACTCACCTTCCTCATGCTGCTGTAGTGATAGGGCTTTATTTATTGATTTTGGGGAGAAGGCGTCTGCTCATTCCAGTCCCCATTCCTGTCCCCTCCTCTCTGCCGGGCTCTGGAGTTGCCAATGTCCCCATGGTTTGGAGCAAGCAACATGCCAGAGCAGCAATAAAGACCCTGAGCAGCCCCTCCAGTTTCAGTGCCTTCCTGGGAGGGAATTGCACGAGTGTGAAATGCAGCCCCTGGTATGTCGGGAGGGTCCTTTCCCCACAACCTAGGGACCTGAGTCCAGAAAGGATTCCATGTGAGGCTGGGCTTCCATGTTGAAACCTGGTGAAAAAGTCAGAGAAGCTGTGAAGCAACGGGGCTGACTCACACGGCCCTCAAGTCATGGAGTGAAAATCCGGAGCGCCGAAGGGCCCGATGGTGGCTGGGACAGCGGGACAGCGGGACAGCAGGGCAGGGCTCCTGCTGCGGGCATGGCAGGCGCCGGTGAGGGACCTGATGCCTGGCTATAAATACCCGCTACCCATATGAGGCCGTGCCGTGCCGGCCGGGACCGCTCCGGTTACAGCCCGCTGCCCCCCCAGCCCCCCGGTGCCGTGCCTGCCGCTGCGGGCAGGGGCACACGCGTACCGCCCGCTGCCTGCGGGCACTCGCACGTGGCTGCGGACGGTGCCTGCCGCAGGCCCCGTGTCCAAGGGCGTGCAGAGCCCACGGTGTCCCCTCACGGCGCACCGAAGCGCTGGGGCACACACACAGCCACAGCACCTGCCCTGCACAGACGCGCACGGCCACAGCCGCTCCCCGCACACCCGAATGGACCATCGCAACCCGGCACTGACCACCTCACCCCCGGCCCGGCCCATCGCCCCCGCCCGGCCGCCGGGCCGGGCCGCGGGGCTCGCTTGCGGAGCCGGGGCTCGCTGCGGAGCCGCCGGAGCGGAGCCGGGGCTCGCTTGCGGAGCCGCCATGCCGCTCAAGGCCGTCATCCTCATCGGGGGCCCGCAGAAGGGTAAGTGCGCCGGGCCCGCGGCGTGTCCCGCCGGCGCAGTGCCCGGCCGACCCCGCTGTGCTCCACAGGGACCCGGTTCCGGCCGCTGTCCTTCGAGGTGCCCAAGCCGCTCTTCCCCGTGGCCGGCGTGCCCATGGTGCAGCACCACATCGAGGCCTGCGCCAAGGTACGGGGGGCCGGGGCCGCGGAGGAGGGGGAAGTGCCGTTCCTTTCCTTTCTGATCCCTTCCTCCGTCCCTCGCCAGGTGCCCGGCATGAAGGAGATCCTGCTGATGGGTTTCTACCAGCCCAACGAGGCCCTCAGCCGCTTTCTCGTATCGGCGCAGCAGGAGTTCAAGGTTCCCATCAGGTGGGCAGGAGCTCTCGCACCCCTGGGGCACACAGGGTGGCACGGCCTGGCTCGGCCCCTCAGCTGCCTGCCCCAGACTGGCAGCCCCCAGTCAGCGCTCCGGCATGGGGCGGCTGGGCTCTGGCCCACCGTGGGTGGGCACAGCCTGGTTCCCCCGTTAGTTCCACCACCTTTCCTTTGCCTTGGCCCCTGCCCTGGATGATTCCTGCTCCAGAGATGCCTCGCTAGCACAGCTCTAAGCCTCCTTCTGTGCAATGGCTGCATGAAACCCACCACTGAATGGCAGGATTATGTCTCTCCAGTCCTTCCCAACCCTGCTGCTGGTTGGTGGCACTAGACACCTGCTTCCCTAAGCCCCCCCTTTTTCCTGCTTGGCTTGTAGGTATCTGCAGGAGTACGCAGCCCTGGGCACGGGTGGTGGCATCTATCACTTCCGAGACCAGATCCTGTCAGGTGGTGCTGAGGCCTTCTTTGTCCTCAACGCAGACGTGTGCTCAGAGTTCCCCTTACAGGAGATGCTGGAGTTTCGGCAGCAGCATGGGGACATGCACAGCTTTGTCATTCTGGGTACCACAGTGAGTGGCAGTGCTGGGGAGCAGAAGAGCTGCAGTGCTCTGCCCTAGGCTTAGAAGCCAGCAGCTCCTGTGGTGGGTGGGTCCCAGACTGTGAGGTCTGGGTTTCATCTGCTTTGCCTCCCTGTGCCTACTGCTCCACCACTGCTAACACTGTCCTTGTTTCTTAGGCCAACAGGACACAGGCACTGAATTATGGCTGTATCGTGGCAAATGCAGCCACACAGGAGGTACTGGAAGGCCTTGGGGAGTAGAGCATGCTGTGGGTGGCAGGTGCTGTGTCACCTGTGTGGGTCTGTGGTCCCAGTGTGCCACGGAGGGTGTGGTGCTGGATGGAGGAGCTGCACCCTGGCATTCATGTCTCTTCCCTCGCCTCCAGGTTCAGCACTATGTGGAGAAGCCCAGCACGTTTGTCAGTGAGATCATTAACTGTGGCATCTACCTCTTCACACCTGCCATCTTCCAGCACATTGGTGAGGTCTTCCAGAGGAACCAACAGGAGTTAGCACTGTGAGTGCCTCACTCTGCTCTGTGTCCCTCCCACCCCCCTGCTTCCTGGGGCTGCAGCAGCACGCTCATCCTCCATACTTTCTCTATCTTTTCTCCTCCTCTGCCATCACTCACTTGTTTCCTGGTCCTGCACCAGCTGTCCTTACCTTGGGTAAGTCTCCCTCTGTGTCTGCACTCGCTGCTCTCTGGGCTGGATTGATCCTAGTGGTAATGCATGCTTTCCCTCCCTTCTCCAGGCTGCTGTTTCCTCTGCTCTGCTCCTGGTCAGCTTGAGACTTTCCCTCTCCCTTCCTCTCTTCCCACCCCATTCTCATTCAGCTCTGGACAAGAGGCTGAGCAAGCCTTTCACCTGGGAATGCTCTCCTCCCCTCTCCAGCTCCTTGCACCAGCCAGCCTGTCACCTCACATCTCTGCCACCACCCAAGTTAAAATCCAGCTGTGCAGGCTCTGGACTGGGGACAGGATCATACACCCACCTGGACTAGGTGGGGCTCTTGCACCATCAGCTTCTGGCTCAGAGCTTATTTTGGCTGTCCCTCTGCTGCTCTGGGGCTCAGTGTCCCAACCTAGCCTGACAGCTGTCCCTCTCCCCACTTTCAGGGAGAAGTGCATGGCTAGGTAGGAATCTGGGATTGTCAGAGTCCCTGAATTTGGGGAGGGTAGGTCTGCTGTGGTCCTTGCCTGAGGCCATGGCTGGGCTGAGTGCCTAACAGGACTCTTGCTTCCAGAGAGGAAAGTTCCAATGGCTGGCAGCGTGCAGAAGTGATCCGGCTAGAGCAGGATGTTTTCACGGCCCTGGCTGGGAGTGGCAAACTCTTTGTCTACAAAACTGATGGCTTCTGGAGCCAGATCAAGTCAGCTGGGTAAGTGCTGGGGCTGGTGTAGCAGGAGCATCAAATTATCTGTACCAGGGATGGGAGTGATCAGTATCAGGGCTGGGAGTGGAGGGTGCTCAGGCAGAGCCCTGGGGGTGGGTGGGTGATGCTGATTTTGGATCCTCCTCTGCCCTGGTAGTGCCAGAGTGACAATAACAATCTCCTGCTCTTCCTCCTCCAGCTCTGCTATCTATGCCAGCCGCCTTTACCTGAACCAGTATAGCAAAAGCCACCCAGAGAGACTGGCCCAGAACAAACCTGGAGGTCCTGTCATCCGAGGTACCGTTCTGACATGCTGACACTTTTGGGGCTGCCTGGGGAGGCAGTGGGACCCACGAGTGGGACCTCCCTTTACCTGAGAGGCAGGGGTTCCTGTGGGCTGCCTCCCCTGAATCCACTGCCGTGTGTTGCAGGGAATGTGTACATCCACCCGACGGCCTCCATCGACAGCACTGCAGTGGTGAGTGCAGGCTGGGGGGGCCCTGGGGCAGGGACGTGCTCAGGGGTGCCGAGGACATCACTGTCCTTGTCCTCATCACCTGCCTCTGTCCTCACAGCTGGGCCCCAACGTCTCCATTGGGGAGGGTGTGACCGTGGGCGCCGGTGTGCGCGTGCGAGAGTCCATCGTCCTGCACGGCGCCTCACTCCATGTAAGTGGGGTTTGCCTGAGGGAGTAGGTGTGGCCCCCCACCCCGCGCAGGGAGGCAGCAGCACTGTGCATTCTCCTCTCCTTCACCCCAGGACCACACCTGCGTCCTGAATACCATTGTGGGCTGGGACAGCACGATTGGGCGCTGGGCCCGGGTGGAAGGGACTCCCAGCGACCCCAACCCCAACGATCCCTATGCCAAGATCGACAGCGAGACCCTGTTCCGGGACGGGCGCCTCACGCCCTCCATCACAATCCTGGGTACGTTGCTGCTGTGTGGAAGCACCCTGGGCCTGATCACCGAGGCAGCTTCTCCCCTCCAGCTAAAGCCTTTGCATTCCCCTCCCAGGCTGCAGTGTCACCATTCCGGCTGAGGTCGTTATTCTCAACTCCATTGTCCTTCCTCACAAGGAGCTGAGCCGAAGCTACAAAAACCAGATTATCCTGTGAGTCATGGGCAGCACCAGCCCCCTGCTCCCTGCCGTGCCCCACAAGAAGAGCCTGCGCTGAGGCCTCGCATCCTGGGAGGTTCTCAGCACCCCCGGAGGGGGTAGGTGCAGGCCAGGAGCCCTGCAAGTGCCTGACCACTGCTCCAGACAGACATTAAAGCTGATGAGCATCAGCCTTGCATGCTGCTTCTCTTGCAGCCCAGGGACCAGCCCTGGGCCAGGGTGAAGGCTTTGGGGACAGTACGTGACCCTGGTACAAGCCTGTGTGCATATGCAGGGAGCACTTGCTGCCTGCAGTGTCTTGGGTCCAACTTTGTGTGCTTCTCCACCAAAGGGCACTACCAGCACCACCTTGCCACTCTGCACCAGGCTGTCCCTGCACTATTTGCTGTCTGCAACTCCCTGGAAGGTCTTGGCCCATCTCTAAGACCTGGGAGCTTTGAATGTGCCTGTCTTGTGTAGGCAGCTCACCCCACAGGAACAGATTGAGACTCTTGATTTCAGCATGATTGCAACAGCCTGAGCTGGGCTCCTCCCTGCTGCTGGGAAAACAGCAGTGCCATGCTGTCCTAGGGGCACTGGCACACACAGGGCTGGGTCAGACTAGCGGGCTGCTGGCCCTGGAGGGAGCTGCAAGAACACCCCTTCCCCCAGTACCACCTCTGCCCCCTGGGCTCAGTGCATGCCAAGAGAGCTGCCAGCCCTACCAAGCCTGCTCTTGTCAGGCTGAGACCTGTGCCTGCTGCCTAGGCAGGGCTCAAGAGTGAGGGCAGCAAGCTCCTGCGGCCCTGGTGGGCCAACAGCCTCCTTCACACCAGCATGGCTGCAGCTTGGGTGGGGGGGGCTCACTGCATATCTCCCCTTGTCACCAGCCACATCCACTGGGCACCAGAGCAATCAACTTACGTGTGTGCAAGTGGCAGGGATTTAGCTCCTCACTTTGCCTCAAAAACCTGATTTCATGGAAGGCAGTTTCCTCCTGAACTGCCCTGGCATGGATTGTCTACAGTAACCAATGCTGCCCCTTATCCTTTTACCTCCCTGGTTTTGAACCCTGTGCTAAAGCCCTGCACTCCACCAAGGGCCCCATCATGCCTCTCATTTTCAGCAAGGCACTGTATTAGGTATTCTCCATCCATCCATCCAGTACCATCCCAGTTCGATGGATTTGGAGTAAATCCTTGCTCCTAGCCCTGTGCCTTCCTGTGCCAGTTCTCCTGTGGTCCTGGGCAGGGATTAGCTGTTCCCTAGCTTTAAGCACATTAAACTCCTTCAGTTTTGCCTCTGCCTTGGATGTGTTAATTTCCTTGCCCTCTGGTGTACACTCCTGTGCTGAAGAAAACTGAGCCAAAGTACTTGGCTTTCAGGATTGCACATGAATTTCCTCTCGTGCCCCATCTGGTCTGGCTTTTAGTAGGGACAAAGGTTTACTGGCTGCTTGATGTGGCACAGGGGCAGTTCTTACCCCTGTTGTGCAATGCCTCTTTTCCCTAAACTCCCTCTGCACTGGTTGCCCCTTCTGCAGAGTTATCTGGGGGACAAGCCCTGCCTAGGACATTGCTCCATTACAGCATGATCCTGCTTCCCCCTCTCGGAAGGAAAGGGCTGTACATCCCAGCACTGCCTGGGCTGGAGGGGAGGAAGGAGTTAAAGAGGCCTCCACTGAGGTGCCAGGAAGTCTGGAAACACTTTGAGGTTGTCCTGCCCCGAGCAGCAACAGCTCCAATTACTTGAGGCCAACATCTTGGCTCAAAGAGGGGCCTCCCGCATCCAGGGCTCCAGATCAGAATAGGGCTTCAGCTCGGGTGGGAGGGGGCTCTGCCTGCCCTCCCAAAGCACAGGTTCTGTGGAGCATTGCTCAACTCTTGTCTGCTGCACAGCCAGGCTCCAGTGAGCCCCAACCCCTGGCAGCAGCAGGCCAGGACAGACAGCAGCCACAGCCAGGTGTGTTTTGCTGCAAACATTTAATACAAACCTGATTCAAAGTACAAGCACTAGTGTAGTGTCCCTGCCACCACAGCTGGACAGAGCCAGCTCTGCTCCCCAGGGAAGCAGAGGAGAGCTCGGCACTGTCACCCCGCAGGCAGTTGCCTGGTCCTGCAGTCTTTGCTCCTCCAGTGCCAGCTCCGTGTCCCGAGGGAGCCACTGCTGCAGGCTACACAGGAGAAGGGAAGAACCGACTCACCTTCCTCTGGGTTGGCCCCTGCCTGCGTGGGGAGAGATGAGTCAGGGGTACAAAGCGAGCTCCCCTGGGCCCCCACCCACACCCGGCAGCACTCACGGGGGCTGGGTGGCCGTGCCCACGCAGCTCCTCAGGGTGCTGGGGAGGCAGCAGGTACCAGCTGGGCTCAGCTGGCCTGACTTGGGCTCCGGAGAGGCAATGCGCTGGAAGAAGGGTTCTGCAGAACAGATTGGGGACAGCTATCTCACCCCAGCCCTGGGCAACCAGGACCCTTCAAGGAAGCTGAAGGCCATTGTGGGGGGGGGCTGGGGCTCCTGTGCTCACCACATTCACGTCCCAGGGCTGGCACTGGCACCAGGTTCTCCTGCTCTGTCTCCACAAAGCCTCTCCAGAAGCTGGGTGGCAGTGAAAGGAGACGAGCCACCACCTGGGCAGAGAGACGTGTAGGATGGGGACAGTGGCAGTGCCCAGGGTACACCCCACACCTCAGGGACCCCTCACCTTGCACTGCCGAGGCGTGTCCTCCATGATGGCGAGCGGTGTGGGGTTGGCTGAGCTGTATCCCACCAGCGTGGGGCCAAACACACGGGACAGGTTGAGCACATCCATCTTGGTGTCAGGGCTGTGTGACACCCTGCAAGGGGGGACAGAAGGTGTGAGCATGCTGCCCAGCCCAGGGGCTCCTCATCTGCAGCTTCTCCACTCTAGGCACAAAGCCTTGGTGAGGGCCAGAGAGATGGGGAAATGGGGACAGACCCGTGCCAGGATGAGCCACTCACCTGAGCAGGTGCAGCATGAGGAAGGCCAGGGTATCCCTGTTGGCCGGGGGCAGCTTGCTCACCACATGGCGCAGGGCTGTGTCGCTGGCAGCATCATCGGGGATGTCTGTGGCAGCACCAGGGAGCAGTGTTAGGGGAGAAGCAGTCCCTTCCCCCTCCCTCATCTTGGGATCCCCTGCTCACCAGCAGCCCTCAGGAAGGCAGGGTGGAGGCTGAAGGTGACCAGTGGTTCCTTGAGTCCCCGCAGAAAATCCTTGAGCACCCCGCACACCACATGGATGTCAGTCACGCTGCTGAGGGCGGGCAGCGCACCCCCAGCCCGCAGCAGCTTCCGCTTCCACTCCCGCACCAGCTGCTCCGCGCCTGGCACCCGGTACAGCCCTGTCTGGGGCACAGGGAAAAGGGCTCAGCCCCTGGGAACCACAGCATTGCCACCTTCACCATCCTGGCCCCTACCTCTGTCAAGCCTCGTTTCTCCACCTCGGTCACACACTGCACCACCAGCGTGGGCACCAGGGGCGGCGTGGAGGGCGCGAAGTCAGCCAGCACACCCTGGGGAGAACAATGCCAACCTGCGCTGTGCCCACCACGCAGCCCTGTAGCCAGCGTGGGCAGAGGCTCGGCATCCTAGGGCCAGTAGCTCTGAAGCCTCATGAGGACACGGAGAGGCCCCCCCAAGCACTGCCGTGCCCCCCTCACCTCCTGGGGCCACGCGTGGTGGTGAGGCCTGGGTGTGCAGAGGCTGGGGCACTGCTCCCGACACTTGGTGTGTAGCAGCAGCTGGCACTGGCAGCACTTGATGGCAGTCTTCCCAAAGCGGATGCGGGAACCACAGATGCAACATGGCTCAGGCCGGATCACCTGGAGAGGAGGAACAGGATCAGGGGCCCCCCTTTGTGCAGATACCCAGTAACACTCCTTTATCTTCTCCCAGCCAAGTCCCACTGTCTCCATCCATTCCCCCTGCAGGCAAAGCTAAGGGGTTGGGGAATGAAGGGCAGCCTTACTCCCCACCCCATAACTCTCTCCCCTGCCCACCTCCCCAGAGGAGAGAGGCTGGGTCACGCACCGTTTTGGAGGTGAACTTGTGCTGGACTGGTGGGAGACTCCGTGGCGGTGAGGGGAAGGGGGCTGGTGCTGGCTGTCCCACTGAGCTGCCCTCAGTGTGGCTCTCCTGCCCTGCAGCACGGCAGCCCAGATCTTCACTGGTGCCACAAACTGTGGTCAGCTCTGCAGAGGGAGGTGGCTGTGGAGGGAGACCTGAAAGGCAAGCCACTCCATGTACCAGCTAGGATGTGAGGAGGCTTCCCACTTCCCAGGGAGTCTCTGGCATGTCCAGAGGGCCCCAATACCTCCAGAGTGGGGACAAGCATCCCCAAACAGATCCCCCCCTCTCCCCTGTGACAGCAGCACCTGGAGGCTGGTCCCATACCACCCATCAAACCCCTTTGCAGCCCTTCCTGTGACCTGCATGCGTGGAGACACGATGTCCCTGGCGAGAGCGGCGCTGAGGCACCAGAACAGCAGGCGGGAGGCTGTGAGCAGGGCCTGGGACCTCAGCAGGAGGGGGCATAGAGGGGACACTCATCTGTCAAAATGGAGACCAATAAGATATGTGACTGCAGCCCCACAGTTCTCCAACATCTCCCACATGATCTCTGGTCCACCTGATCCCTTTCCCTGTGGTCCTGCAAAGCCAGGGATGCTGCCACCACGGGTACAGGGAGATGCAGGCTTCAGGGCAGTGGTCCAGCATAGCCAGGGATGCTGTCTCCATGGGGACCAAAGTGATACAGGCTGAAGGCACCCAGAGGAGACAGCTGAGCACTGTCCCCACAGTATCCACAGGACTGAGGGCTGCACCACTGCCTTTTGGCACTGGGAAAGCCCACGCACCCCATCCTTGCCCAGGGCACGCTGGGGTCTCTACTCACAGCATTATGGGGTACCACAGAAGAACGGTGCCGCTTTGCCATCACCACAGGGCCAACCTGAGGGGCCAGGGACACACGCTGGAAACAGAAGACAGCATGAAGAGCAGGCAGAGACCCTCCCCTCCCTGACATTTCCCCACTCCCCAGAGTACCCAAGCCAAGTGGCCTCAGCCCAGCGAAAAGTCCCAGTCTCACCCTACTCCCCAAGCACTGCCTGCCCCACACCAGGCATCATGGGGACTGAGGCTTCCCCACCAGGTCAGAGCCAGCCCTGGGGATGGGGGAAGCCAGGTCACGCCTGCAATGCAGAGGTGTGAGCAGAGTGGGGTGCGGGATGCCCGCACGTGGTGATGAATTATTGAGGAGCCCAGCTGGGCTATGGTGGTGCGTAATGGAGTTTCTATTGATCGTGGGAGGTTTGCCGAGAGACGATGCTCCCAGCACAGCATCAATAAATTAAATTCCCTGCCATGCTCCTTGCAGCCTCCTCTGCTGGGATGGAGAAGTATCTGGGTGTCCTCACCTTGCATGGCACAGGGCCAGCACCCCAGCCTGGGATGCCCACTGGGACCTGTGGGTGGGCAGAGGAACCCAAAGGGCACATTGAAGGAGTGTGATCAGACCTGGGGGATCTTCACCCACACAGAGGCACAGACACCACCTCAACACCAGCCCCCAAAACTGCCACATCCCAGCATTTCCTCATACCTGCCTGTCCGAAGCTTTGCGCTTCAGGGTCCGCACCACCGTCATATCAACATCCTGAAAGGCAGCAGGGAGTCTGAGGCTGCATCAGGCCAGGGGCATCCCCAACATTCATCTCCAGCCCTGATAGCAGCCCACTCCTAACTGTGGATATACAAAGGGGCTGTGCCACTGCAGAAGTGGAGCAAAATGACCCCCTCACTATTGGGGTAAACCCTGAGACTTGCAGCCGAACACTTCTTACCACATCATCCTCAGTGCGGTCATAGCTGATATCCGAGTGGGACAGGAGGGACTGGCACGACTCGTCCACTGCAGATGACCTGCAGAGTGAGTTCAGCTGGAGAAATTCCCCCTCAGCCAGCACCTACTCCTGAGAGCCCACAGCTGATGCCCCTACAGAGCCCAGGCAGCTCCTTGCCCAGCCAGCCCCTCAAGCCCAGCAGTAATGAGGGGGAGAGGGGCACAGCCGACCCCAGGGCTGCCCGAAGGGTTGGGGTGAGGACTGCCACCCCTGCTCACCTCCTGATGGGTGCCAAGGCTGTCCCAAGGCGCCGGCCAGCCAGGGCACTGAGAACAGAGCACTGCTCCCTGCTCAGTGCCTCGCTGCCCCATGGTTCCCGCATCAGCAGCTCAAGGACCAGCTGAAGTTTCCGCTCCTGCAAGTGAAACAGGGCGGTGGTGAGCA